GATCTCTAACTTCACTTTAATATTCCTTTGAATTTACATCATTGGAAAGATGATTTCAACCGGGGAACAAATCCGGTAGCATAATTTATATCTTAAATTCCTTATGAATTTATTAAGCGATATTACTTAGGAAAACAAATAAACTAGTCCGGCCTGGGAGTCGAACCCAAGACCTTCATATCATTAATTCGATATTTCTTTAAGATTTAACTAAGCATTTTCTTATCAGAACCTTGCTATTGGACAATTTGCCTTTTAGAAGCTATTCGTCATTGGTTGACTTAATAAATTGAAATATTCTTATAGGCGCGTCGCCAACATAACGTCACATTGTCTTAACCTCTCTTTAGTTGAATCTAGTACTCAATTGATGAAGTAATTAAATATGAAAGTCGCATATTAAAATTTCGTAATTATAGGGTTACGTTTTTCTTTTTGAGGTACGGAACCCTAAAATTACAGCAGCAGAGGTATCAATTTGAAATTAATATCAAATATAAAGGCACATCATCCTTTGGAGGTGTAAAAAATTCAAGATTCTTAGTAAGAATTAAATGATACGGCCAATTATTTGTCAATGTGTTATGATTTTGATACTCGCGAACACACTTATCAACCAAGGTCTCACAGCAAATTCAGAGATAAAAACCAAAAATCCTAAATTTTCAGTAATACGACATAAAATATTTTTAACACTCGGAATTTCACTCCTCAAAACTGCTCTTGCTATCGTCTATGAGCGTCTGGTCCGTCTGGCAATGGAGGCGATACCTCCTCCACCTACCTACCTCTACCAACAATGAATTATAAATGTAGAACTTAGTACGAGTGAGACGAAGCCCTGACCTAGTTGCTGTCACTAATTGTAGTTATTAATTTGCTAATAAACTATTATTCTGTCATCTATTTTATTCCCTACCTTATAAACCAACCCGTCACAAAACCTATAGGGTACTTCCCACTGAGCTAAAAATGATTGAAATTTTGCAAGAAGTAGGGTCTGATGATACAAAAGAAAAAAATCCGAAAATCCTTAATTTATGGTTATATTACATAAAAAAATATCTTTTGTAATTTCAAACTTACATTTTCATATTTACATGTTCAAGCAACGAACGTGATGTCCACCGATTTACGGAAAACTTTTTTTCAACTGAAGCGTTTATGCCTAAATCGACTTACCTTTCTGTTAAAGGCTTATGAATTTGAGTAAGTTATATATTTTGTTGAAAGTAAGTATTTTTCTAACAGTTTACACTGTTATACGTCACCATTGTATATAAATGAATATCAACTATGTTCATTTGCGGCAACTTCGTGTATCGATAACAAAAACAGACAAAAATGGTCGATACCTCGATTCCTGGGATACGGATAGATGAAAATACATGTAATTGGGTTTAATCGGAATCCACAGGGCGCAAGTTCCACTCGCTCTTGACCGGCTTTTTATTTTTATTTGCCAGTTTGCCATTTTATAGGTGCGTGTGCTACGTCACACATAGAAGAGTTCTGACAGAACCTCATTTTCTCCTTAAAACTTCTGTTAAGTGACAAATTAAAATTTTGTGCAAAAAACAGTAAGTTGTATCCATGCTTTACCAATAATCTGTGTAGTTTGTACACATGTAGTACCCGTATTACAATCATATAGTGATAAAAATTATCATTTTTTTAATTTGATTAACTAGCATCAAAATTGTTTTAATATTAATTATCAAAAATAATAACCTCTGCATAATTTAATAATAATCCATTTATAATACTTATTAAATGACGGGCTATTATGAGATTTTGAACAAATTTATTCAAAGGTTGTATTCAATTTATAAAATTTTTAAAAATGGTTTTTAAATACGAATATGTAGATATTCCATTAAAGATATAGTAGAAAGAATGTGCATATTTAATTAAAGAAAATTAAATGAATAAACAGAAAACGATTCTATTAACTAATTCTGATCACGTAAAACGTACCTAACAACTAAATAAAGTTTAATCTAAAACTTGTTTTAATAAAAACTTTTGCTAAAATATTATTTTTAATCCAGTCTACATTATGTATCGTAGTTCTCCCTTGACGATAATTTGAGACGGCTAATAGCACAACACAAGTCCCTTTTACCAAAAACGTCGATCGTCGACCTTCTTTATTTGCTGACAGCAATCTTAAAGACTCGCTAGGTTTCCATATATTGGAAACCTAGCGATTGCTGCCGGAATATATTGGACTTTCGAGACCCCAGAGACTGAAGTGTTCGCTCTTACTGAACATCCCTAACATTGTTTCCACAGTTAACTGTAATTGAACTCTAATGACTATATCTTTAGGATTGAGATTTAAAATGCCTGCGGAAAATAAGGGCCTGCGTAATGTAAACGCTACTATTTAAGGGTCAACAGATTGCCTCACTTGTAATTTGTGCCGCACGTGTTAGGAATAAGTAGTAGACGATATTTTAATTGTGTACACGTGAGTTTATTCTATTAAAATAAAATGTATAAGAATGTGCTAACATTTCCAAATTAATTATATAAAACATTGTGAAAAAGAAGTTTTAAAAGAAGCCTTTGTAAGAAACGAAATATCTAAGAATATAAGAAATTCGTCAACAAGCACTGTAGCAACGCGGCGGACTAATTTACTGATTATTAACTCTCTGTGATGATTGAAGCCATGTGCATGGTATAGATGTACTTTCTGTTCTTAGTTTTCAATACTATCAACTCTATTTTATACCTTTGCTCATTTCTCATACTCCACCTTACGTAGAAAGATGAGAACAAGAAAGAACACCTGTGCCCGGAGTCAGGTATTCTCTACACTCAAATATAATCGTCAAAAATTTATTTCTCAATTTATTTATTTTATTTGGCTGACCAACAATGAGTACACTAAAACTTATAGTATATTATAAAACAAAACAAAGTCAACAATTTAACAACAATACAGGAAAAATATTTCATTCATTATTATTGATATCAATATCAAGCACAGTCTTTTTAATTTTAGATACGGAGGTTGTGTTCATATCTAGCACAGTAGAATATGCCTAGTGACTTAAGGTTTGTCCTACAGTGACTGGTATGAAAATGCAAGCTTAGTGATAGTGCGACTTTTTTATACATATAAAAGGAACATGTTTGTAATAGAAACGCAAATGATGGTATAGAATGTATCAAGATGATCATCTAAGTTCTGGGCACTCGCGAAGAAATTCGCTACGCCAATCCACATTATCAAGAACCTTGCTAATAGCCTCGTAATCAGTCTTATAAAAATTCTACCCTCAAGAATATACCAGCTGTCAACCATAAATGTGGGTACCAGTAACTGTAATCGTTTTACTTGCAAGATTTTCCCATAGTTATCATCTTTTTGGAAATTCTTAACGTGTTTAGATGATGGTATTGTGGCATATTGATGGCTATTTGCATATAAAAAGTTAGAATACCGAAATTCGACTGATAAGGGAAAAGATTAAGGGAAAATTGAACTTTACACTTTATACTTAAGATGATGATAAATCCTGGCTAAAATGGCTTCCGTTTCTGATATATAGCCAATACTGATATCACCAACATTAGATTTTACGAAATAGTAGTCACGAGTAGATGTACCTACAAAAAAAATAAAAATCTTACACAATTATGTTTCTTCAAAATTTCGCCCTTCTGATTATTTCTTACTTATTTTTAATGAAAGGAAACATAATGAGGAAACCTGCATGTATAGAAAAATTAAATATTTTGAGAACGATGATCGTATGTAGTATGTATACATAGGAATTCAATTCATAAAGAACTAACTCTAAGATGCTTCGAACGGAGAAGATTTTTCAGCAGATAACTCTTTTGTTTACATGGGGAACAGAAATACAGTTTACACAAAATCTGTCATTAATTATGAAATTATCGTGTTTATTTGCATTTTTATATTACACAGTAACTGATAATAGGAATAAAGAAGAATCTACATAAAGGATTTTTCGTCATAATTGCCACACTTGGCAATATGAAGTACAGGACTATATGAATTAGTGGGTATTTTTTTATAGGATAGGGTGACAAACGAGCACACAGTCCACCTGATGGTAAATGTTTTCTGTGGCCCATAGACATCTACATCTATCCTCGATTACGAATCAAAACGCAGATGCGTTGTCACCGGTGAGGACTAAGATGGAATGCCTCATTTCCAGTAAAAAAGGTCTCCGGAGGGTCACTCACTATACGATACACAGATACATTAAGCTGTTATTTTACGCTGGTATTCTGTGAGAGCGTGGTCCTTCCCCGGTCGAGCTGACCCATTCTTGCTACAACTATACTACTAATATAACTGCAGCATGGCTCTACAACGTATGAAACCGCCACTACATAGTTTAGAAGGAACATACTGTAACGAAAAGTTTACAAATCGGAAACCGGAAGTCACACTCAAGTCAATCAAAATTTACCCTCTAAAGTAAATTGTAATGAAGAATTACGCGTGAAAATGGTTTTGGTTATTAACATTTTTTTTCCAATACTTACTAATTTTCTTTGTAGTTAACCTTTAAGTACCGATGTGGGGCCTGTCAGGCCGAAGCAGGTAGTAACGTTGTTAGTATTACCCCTTCCCCGCTTAGGAGAAATCCCCGCCCATCAGTAGCTGCAAGTTCAGTTGCACCGACGCCGTAGAGTGTAGTGGTATTTCCGGTGGACGCGATTGTGGTAAGTTATGTCAATTTAAAATTATGAAGCGGCCTCTCAGGCCCAACGTCGGTAATTACGTTAGTTTTTTTGTCTAAATGTGTTTTGAGTTGCAATGCTTATTTTCAGATAAATAGCTACTGATGCGAAAAAATGAATGCACCTAAATAAAAAAAACTGAACGGGGTGTTTTTGTAAAACATTTAGCTCGTCAGCTCATATTAGAGCGAATAAAGAGAAGGGTGTTTAACTTACGCTTGCCTCGCGAGCTTCGCATGAGTTTGGCTAGAATACTCGGGGCTGATATGCCAGATAAAGTTCAAGGTCAAGTGAGTCAAGAAAAAACGAGAAAAAATATGTGCATCTTGCCCACGTAACCTCAACAGAAAATCAACATATCGATGTTACTCATGCAGAAAACACGTTTATTTACAGTGTGCCAAGCAACTGTGTGCTTGCTGATTGTGAATAAGTAACTTTGCTGTTTGTCATTTTTTTTATTTTGAGCATTCCAGATATTTTTATTTTTTTTTTCTGATAGACATATCCCTTAAGTATAAGAAAAGTTAAGATATTCTAGTTCCGAAGTGGTATTTCTTTTTTTAAGATTTCTATTTCGTTAAGTGTCCTATTGTAGTCACAAAATGGAGCCAAAGATTAAAAGGCCTATTAATGTTAAATTTAATGAATAAGATTATTAATTTACTTCTTCCATTCATTTAAGAAACCTATATTATCAAAATAAATTAAAATTTGACCAAAATTATAAACCATTTCTAAAAAAACTGATTATTTGCATGCGGCCTCTCGGGCCCCACATCGGTACTTGCGGTACAAAAAAACCACGTCGGTACATAAAGGTTACCTCAAATCCGACTTTCAATCGCAGGACATTTAAAAAAAAAGAAATATTTAAATTTGTTTAAATAAATTTTATAATGAAGTTTATTTCAATAAGTAGGAACTTTAGAAAGTAGTATTTTTAATTTGAAAATGGAAGCCACTACCGCAAAGAGTTAATAGAAAATATCCAATAATTATGGTTACACTGCAACTACTATATTTTTCTAATTTGAAGAGTGTGAAGCACCAGTGTAGCTGCACACTGAAGTATTTCATATTAGCTCTCAAAAGTAAAAACAATATGTAGTTTTCTTAATTTGAATCTGGTTGCAGGTCTCTACTCCATTGACCGACATTCCAATGTTATAAAAAGTATTACGTACGTAGTAGTACGTACAAAACGAATTCATATTGATGCTTATGACTCCGAACCATGTAAAATTTTATCAAAAAAATGGTTGCGAAACTGAGATAAACGCATTCGCAGAACAAAACCTAAATTAACTATGTTATATTTAAACTGTGTTTTTTATTAATGTATCTTTACAGAAATCTGTACAAATTTATTTTCATAACTCATTCCGGGTTTGACGGTTTTCCAATACAAAACGACATAAACTATAAAAGAAAAACTCGTGCAATCATATTTTATCGGAAAAGCTATTTTTCGCAGGCGGATCCCGGGCCCAGCTACATAAAACGCCGTGTTAACAATAACAAGTCCCGACGCGTCGAGACGTACTCGCCTCGAGACATCGTACTTGTTCCAACTTACAATCATGATTTTTATTTGCCAAATCTTACGTGGAGATGTTACGTTCGCACTTCGATAAAAATATCGATATTTCTCTATTTAAATTAACTTAAATATACTAAATTAGTCCGTAACAGTTCGCTTGCGATCCTAGATAGCCACTTTTGTAAATCTGCTCTGGTGCGAATTATTTGCCGGAGGGAAATCACTTCGTAACTGGGTTAAGTTTTTTTCTTTATAATATTACTTTATAACTTAAATAAGTATAATAAACATGAGATAATAATAAGCATAAGAAAGGCATCGCCTTATAATCGATTCTGAAACATTTACACAAAACAAAGAAACCAAACGTTAAACGTTCAAACGAAGCAATCACAAGTCCAATCACGATGCCCACCAGAGTTACACAATCGGCTGGACGCAGGGCTCTCTCACAACAGCAAGAAGTTGCTTTAACTGTCACACTTTGTCATACAGATTAGTGATCGACGTCTGCCTTGTACCTTTGACACTGCTCTCCGTATTCGGTCTGGTATTTTACATCTAGTTTATATTTACAAGAATATAGTCCTTTACATAAAAAAATCTATTAGAGGCCATTAAAACTCTCTAACATTTTGTAGTTTGGCGGCGCTGTTCCCGCGCCACAAGCAAACCGCATGTAAGCCTAAATCACGTTATCAAAGCTCCAAAGTACTGCAGTATACGGGGTTATTTTGCAATATGTGCTCAAATTTGCAGAGAAGGTTCAGAATAAGTAATATAAGCGAATGATGAAGAAAACTTAATTAAAAAAAATTCCTTCCTCCTTTTATCTTTATAATTCAAAATGCGTGGTAATGATTTTAACTGATTGTCATTCACAAATATCTAACGCCTACAATTTTACTACGCAACTTTGTGAATTAAATACGAGTAGCACACAGTGGAGAACGCGTAAGCGTAGTTGTTATCCATAAATAACAGTCAATTTGGGATAATTTCAAATATAAAAGAAGCCTTATTTACTCGTATTTTCAGAAACTGCAATAACGGTATTTATATATTTGAACTTAAATATAAAATTTGAATACTCTTTGAAAAATAACCCTGTATATAGTATTAGTATAGTTCCGATTTACGGCGCTGTCTGTTCCCCGGGCTGAATACCTTGCCCGGCGGGAGATCTCCCTTTTTCCTTCCACGGTCAAAATAGCAAACAAAAAAGCAAAAAACGATATTCTTACGTCACCACCGCACATCAAATTGATGTATATGTTAACTTAATGATTCATTATAACATATATAAGTTTCGAGCTCGGTAAGTTTGAGGTTATTTTGAATAGCTACTACATACTAGAATGTGATCCACCTTCGCTATAGATGGCGACGACTGCAATAATTCAATCAAAGGTGGCTTAACAGAGCTCCAGTGTTTACCAAACACATACCCTTATCACGAAGCATTGATGAACTTATCCTTTTCGCATTAGACGCTCTTACTTTATTATTAACTTAACGAGCAACTTTGAACTCTATTACTAGAGGAATAATGATTTTTCAACATATCAAACATAATCATTAGATTTATCGCGCTAACTTTAGTTGGTCTAAAAGTGTTTTACGATGAGGTTGTTCACACTTTTCGCGGTTTTCATTTACTGGGTCAAATATGGAAAATGTCGAGACGAAGAAAAAATTAGCAAAGGTAATAATTTCTTAGTTCTACTGAACGTCTACTTTATTTTTTATTTTTAAAATATTGTGGTATGGCGCTTTTCACAATTGAGAAAGATATATTAGTAAGATACCAAAGCTATTATAGTAAGTCCAGCACCCTAGGGAGCAATAATAGAACCGTTAAAACGACGTCGAAAGGAACTAAGAAATTTTAAGTGTCCATAACTAAATTTACTGTTTCTAGCTACGCGATAAAAGGAACCATGTTTGGGACATTTTCTATCAGTTAGAATCTCATAAAAGTCTAACAAAGAACGAGTACCGCTTACAGTACAAAAAGTTAATTTAATATTCATATCATCAACATATTTACTGATACTTTTTACCAAACCTATATTAATATGTCACATTTGATTCCTTTAAAATTTAGGGTGCTATTGGCCAAACGAAGTCTACGAGCCCTGCTTTGGTGGGTGTGCAGAGGTTTCGTGCGACAACCCTCGAAACCACCTGCGCCCTTGTTATCCGTACTGCGAACCTGGATGTGTGTGTGCGGAGCCTTACGTAAGAGACGATCGTACCCATCAGTGTGTGCTCCCTCAGGACTGTTCACCGTAAGTATTAATAATGTATTTAATAAACAAAATACAAAATGTATCAGCCATAATGCAATTGACGATTGAGAGAATGGTAGTACAAAAATATTATGATTGAAATGAATTTTTGATAAAATGAAATAGTTCTAAAAAGCAGAAAATATAAATAATATAATTTTATTGTTATATTGTCAAGGTGTAGATTTAAAAAAAGGAATGAAACCTTTTTTTAAATCTACAACTCGACAATATAACTGTAAAATTAATTTAAAAAATGCTAAAGAAAAACTACCAAAAACGATTCTCAAAGTATAGTATTATTACACGTGGTAGAGCCATGCTGCAGTTATATTAGTAGTACAGTTGTAGCACGAATGGGTCGGCTCGACCGGGGAAGGACCACGCTCTCACAGAATACCAGCGTGAAATAGTAGCTTAATGCTGCTGTATTTCGTATGGTGAGTGTAGAGAACCGGAGACCCTTTTTACTGGAAACGAGGCATTCCATCTTATTCCTCACGGGTGACAACGCATCTGAATTTTTTTTGTAATCGAGGATAGATGTAGATGTCTATGGGCCGCAGCAACCACTTACCATCAAGTGTACTGTGTGCTCGTTTTTCATCGTATCTAATGAAAAAAAAATAGTTTGACACATATATTTATAAGCATCAACACACTTACATAAACACTACAAAAGAAGAACATATATGAAAAAATACTTATTTAAAACATTGCAATCATGTTTTTACGAGTATATGTACAAAGCTATGTAAAACCCACAGCCTAAGGTTTTATTTTGATTAATGTAATTTTTGTTCCAGAACACAAATGGGCATACCGGTACCCACGAAGAGAATAGCAAAGCCACCTGCACCAAAATATGTAGCAGCTGCAAAAACACCAAGAAGTCATGCAAAGCGAGATGATGCGTTAGATATGGACGACAGTGCATTGCCGCCTAACAATCACGTTGAAGATTTCAAGAGAGCTTCAGAGGTGTCAAGGATGGGCAATTATTTCAATATTGTGATCGCTCCCCCGCCTATCAAAGCATTACAACCCAGGAAATTGCTCCATAATGACAATTTTCGACCACCCGCTAAACAAATCAACTGATACTGATAGATACTATAAAAGTGTTCCAAATATATATTTTTAATAATGTCTTGTTGTTTTTATTGATCACTTGTATTTTCGACGCTCTCTGTCTGATTATTTTAACTATTTTACTCTTGGAATTATAATTTAACTATGTCAGTTGACATAGATTTTCTGTATTTTTTTTTAAGTCGACTCTCATGACAACTAACTAGAGTTATTGGGTAAAGAAATATATACACGTTATCGTTAAGGCTAAGGTGATAATAGCAAATAAAATTATGTGTTAAAAGTTAATGGCAGCGCCGGTAATGGCCAGTATTCAATCATGTCAGTCAAGTTAGTCCACATTACTCTATATTATGCTACATTTTTAAGCGGAATTAGCCACATTTTGTGCGGATTTTGCCTAATGTTTAATAGTCTTAATAAATAATGAATTTTATTTCGTTTTAAAAATTACATGCCTTAAAAACTAGTAGATTGGAACCTCCACTTAAGCAAATAATACCTGTGTTTGGTTTGTTCTACAGTAGCACTTCCTACAAAAGAAATTCTTATTTAAGATGATATAAAAGTAAATGCTTAATATTCATATGCAACAAAATGTAAGTATCGAAACAAGAAACCCATTTCATTTTCTGTACATCGTCGTCATCATCATTACAGCCCTTCACAGGACCACTGCTGAGCAAAGGTATGGTTCCTGTACAGCAATGCCAAGTTCTAATAAGTAAATATATTTAAAATTTTAAGTACACTTTAATTATGTTTCCATAAAATCGAAAAAAAAGTTACGGCAACACATTTCGGCTGTTTTTGTGAAATTTATTAATCTAGGCTTTGATAGATTTTTAATTCTTCTGAGGTTCTTTATAAAATAAAATTATATCAATGACATGGAAATTATAATATCCGAAAATTCACTTAGATACATAGGTAAAAATGATACTAACTAAATATTTCTATTTGTTCTTACTTTTATAGTAATTCATTAATAATTCTAGTCTATGAACTGAGTACGGAATAAATTAAGTGGTACAAACATAAGTCTCTGAGAGATGACTACATATTTGTGCCATTTGCTGTAGAGACCTAGTTCCTAGAGGAACTCTATCCGCGACTCTATCGTCGTAACTGCTGGTGATTGATAAGAGGGCTGAATCTTTTCTTGCTCAAAGGCTAAGTATTTCCATTCAGCGAGGAAATGCAACCAGAGTTCCTGTCACGATACCTCGGGGAGTAGGACTGTATGATAATTTAAGATATTAGTTTTAGCTTTTTTTATTATAGTTATTCTAATGACATTTCTACAATTATTGTAATATCATCTGACTCAGCATACATTCTGTGGTAGGGGATTGCACATAAAAATAGTCGCAAGACGTACATATCTAAATGAAAACGCAAAAAGGAAATGATTCGACTCATAATCGCTGTGTTCATTTTTATTTTATTTTAATCTGAGAGCACACACATCCGCTATTAAAGTTTTCTTTTTGTCAACAAAGCCTCTATATTCACTGATTAGCGGCTTCAGGATTGTCGTAAAATGAAATGTATGGGTTTGACTTGATGGTAACTTACGTACAATATAAAATTGAGCACCAAGATGCGTAAACTCTTATTATTGGGTTTTTTACTCTGTAAGAATAAAATAAATGAAATTAAAATAAAACTTATTGTATATTCTAATTAAATTAATATTACAGATAATGTTATCGCTTACGCTTCGCGATTAAACAATTATGACTACGACGATGTCGACAATAGTAAAAGGCATACTCTTGGCGAAGATAGAAGAAATTGGCGAAAAAAAGCATTATTGAAACCTTTAGAATCCGACCATAAAGATTGGGATGACAGACGCAGATTTGAACAAGATAGTCTTAGATACTCGGACGATGCAGACAAAGGTTATGGAGGTATGGATAGACAAAGAGAGATGGATGGGTTTAGAGGTCCAAGGCGCTACGAAGAAATGGATAAAATGATATCCGGAATCAACAATGACTTAGCACGACCATCGTCTTTCTTGTAATTTCAGTTTCAAAATATGTTTCATACGTTACAAAATTAGTGTCTTATTATAAAATGTTCGTTTTCTGTTGCAGAGAAAAAGATATTGATAAAAAGCCTACGTCAATATCAATGAATTGTGATAGACAACATGAGAGGTATAGCTATCCACTTGATTTGTTTAATATTCATTATATGCGATCCAATATGGTTTATTACTTTATATCACTGACGGCGTCTACAAAATTATAAATAATTTGGATAGTTCCAAACTTATGTTGAGTGTTAAAACTAAATCATAAAAATTCATAGGTATGAGCCTTGCTTCGCTGGATGCGCGTCAGTTACTTGCGACAATCCCCGTGACCGCCTACGCCCCTGTTACCCGTTTTGTGAACCAGGATGCGTATGTGTCCATCCCTATGTTCGTGATGATCGCACACATAAATGTGTTTTACCAGAAGAATGTACGAAGTAAGTAAACAATAATATTCCTTTCTTGCAATCTAATTGTTTTCTTTTGTAATAAAATACTGTTTTAGGACAAAATTTAGGATTTTAGTAAAATTCTAAAAGTACTCGTATGTACTGAACAATAAGTTCTACTTCTTGAATTTATTTTACCTTCATCAACCCTTAAAATGCCACTGCAGGACACAGCATCTCCTTACAAAACTTAGTGAACTCAAAGCTAGTTGGAGACTGCGTGAACCGTTTAAACGCCCTGGCTTGTAACAACAGGGTCGTTTTAAGATGGGTTCCGGGTCACGAGGGTATTGTAGGCAACGAATTTGCCGACAAACTTGCACGGGAGGGCTCAAAGTGCACACAATTTGGACCCGAGCCATTTTGTGGAATCTCAGAAGCCTAGCCCGATTGACCCTTGAAACTCTTTATCACAATAAATCACTTAAGATCTGGTCTGACACACCAGGCTTAAAACATTCTAAAACCTTAATCCGGGCTTTTGATCGTAAATTCGCTTCAGAAGCCCTGGGATTAAGCAAAAATAAATTGCGCATTCTGGCAAGAGCCCTAACTGGACACTGTTGTCTTAAAAAGCACATGTCCATCTTGGGACCAAGCAACTCAAGGATGTGTCGGTTCTGTTCCATAACGGAAGAAACGCCTCTACACATCCTAACCGATTGCGGACCCTTAATGCGCAAACGTAACACTCATCTGGGACACTATCTACTCCGCCCAGAAAGAGTGAAATTGCTCACGGCTAAGCACCTCCTTCGAATCATTGAAGACATAGGGCTTAGCAGTGAACTATAGCCATAGCAGCGATCACAATAGATCTTCTAGGTCGCAGTGATACTGGTCTCTTTACCTAGACCTGCATAGCTGCTGGCATATAATAAAAAAAATCTCCTTACATCTGGATTTACAGGATGAATTTGCCATGCCATAATTGCAACGCGTGGCAGACAGATTGACGTTCGCAGCACCAGACGTTATGAAGATTTTTCACTGCTCCCCTTCGGTGACTTGGATATTTATCAAATGCTGTGTGATTTTATTGGCATTTCCGAAGTCGCTACAACACCCATGGACCAAATTGTGGCATTAAGGGGGAAACGGATTCTCTAACTTATTTAATTTAACCTAATAAGTAATAACTTATTGAATAATTAACAAAAATAAGCCTACGGATAAAAGCGCCATGTAATTGTACCTTACTACCTTTGTTGTGTTACAGAGGCCTCAAAGGAATTCCGGACTTGGGAGATGATATTTAATTAAGTAAAGTTATATAAGTTAATATGTTATAAAATACTTAACTCAGATATTATGTGTGTGTGTGTATCATTTTTATTTGAATTCAATATCGATTTTTTTGTCAATTTAATGTTTTATAGTGATAAACCAATACCAATGTATAATTTAAAAAAAATACCAAGTGTGGTGACGTACATAATTTTTGTGTACTAATTGTGTGTGTTTTTTTTTTAATTGTGACATTCGATTATCATATTGTCATGTTTCAATGTATCAAATTTACATATTCTAAAATAAATTAAAACATTGTGTAAAAGAATTTGTATTTAGAATAATTTTATATTTTTACATCGCGTTTTAGTAACTAATTGAGTATTAAAGAATTAAAAGATGTGCTTTAATATAGTTATTTTTGTGTATTTTTAGCCTTCCAAAATAATACCCTATATCATCTTAATTACCAAGCGCTAGAAAAAACTCTACGTAAAGAAAACGAATCAGTATAGAATACCATACTAGAATAACGAAGCAAGATAATTGTCGCCCAAACACAATGCATGTATTGTGTTATATCGAAAGAAAAAGACGCCATGAAATGAAGCCATTGTTTCTCAAATTAGATTGGCAACTTTTTCAAATACTACTAAAATTGTTTAGAACGTCGATCAATGTCTAACTGAAGCATTACATTAACATTTTCTAATCTATATCAAAAATACAGAAATAATTAAAAGAAAATAACAAGTTACATCGTGAAATTAATAAACAGTGGCATTTACGTAAAAACACGTTATTAATGCATTAATTAACGTTTGAAAAGTCTGAAGTAAATCTGAATTTGCGCCACACCGAACACAAGAAAACCCTTCTATAATCTCCTATAACATTGTGATTTGATATAATGACAGTATATAAACCCAAGTTTTACAAATGACATTTTTGCTTCTCTTCGTTTCTGCTGTGGTAACTCCTGCCTTCACCACGGACACACAATTCGGTAAGTAAAAACATATTGTTATATTGGGAGTTTTCTACCCATCAATAGTCCAATGCTGAACATATTGTATTACAATAGCATAGCTTTATTTGTTTACCAAAAATTCTATTTATTTCACAAAAAAATATTTTAATACAGGTTTATCTACCGATAAACTATGTTGATATTTACGAAATTAATGTTTATCACATTTAATAGTTTGTACAAAGTGCATTCTGATTCGCATGAAATTTTTATACTTTTCTCTTTTTTTAAATTTCAATACTACTCTTATTACACGACTTAATTTCATTACAGAATGTGGATCACACGGAAGATTTGAATACTGTATCGATGGGTTTCCTGGCTGTATCATAGGTTGCCATTGCCACCCGGGATATTATTTCGATACAGATACGAAGATATGTGAACCTAAGTATGCAATTATTAATAAACAATACAATATATGTGTTGGCAGGTCTATAAAATACCGATTGGATCGAGAGTGAGCAAGAGGTTGCGTTACTCCAGCTGAACGTCATATCGATGGTGGCAAGGTGGAGTTGAGAGTTTATCGGGAAATTCTCCCATCCCTTCATGCAGTACAAAGTTTGTAGGCACCATGCGCGGGAGATTCCGTCTTAGTCATTCTACCAACACGTAGTGCTAAAATAATATCGTGGTACTCTCCGTTGTGGTGGTTCTTCTGGTGCTGGCAAGGAGGTTGGTGTTGCTGAGAGGCCACCCCGTGTTACATTCACTTAGATGGTGTTGCTGTTGATTTGTATACTTTAGTATTATCATGTAAATGTATCCTTCACGTTGCACCAGTGTGTAATTGTGACGGAGACATATTACGGTACGGTTGAACTGTAATTGCTCTATACTAAATGTATAGTGCGTTACGCTGTTTTATTATTGATAATGATTAGTTGTGTAAGCAAGAGAGCAAGCCTAACATCTGCTCTCACACTTTTACTACTTTTAACTATTGATGTATTTCCGAGATATAGATTATGTTATAAGTGCATCTTTATTTACAACAAACTGTTTCTTTTACCAACATCATACTAAACAATACAATTGCCAAAAAACGACAAATACACCATTATTAATATAAATGCTAGATAAAAGATAATATTACTATTTCAGCATAAAGTTGACGCAAAGTCACCAACGGCGAACCAATGGCGGTGAACCGATACCTACACCGTTATTACAAATTAACTCTCACGCAATGCCAGAACTGTCAACATCGTTTCCTAATACAAGTGATTTGGACGATCATGTAGATGCGATAGCTAAGAACGCAGACGATCTTGGTGATTGGCTCTATAATCAATTTTATAAAACAATAGAAAGTCAAGTTATCAACAATACCAACGGAAACACATTAACAAGACGAAGTGGTACGGTTTCCTTAAAGGAAAATGTTAAGAAAAAGAGACGAAAAAACCAAAACAAAGGGACTCTAAAAAAAAAGCGAAAAAAAGAGGACTTGAGAAGGAAGTTACTTCGGATTACAGAAGATGATAGTCTCTTCGATTCAGGCACAGATACTGATAGCTCTGACCCTTCCAGCAGTGATGAAACGCATGAAAGCAGAGATCAAGAACACGGACACAAGAAGTTTGTCATAATTAACAAGAAACCAAAAGCACCACTGCCTTCTTTTATATTTTTACCAAATTTAGAAACACCTTTCTATCCCCCTATAGGATTACCACCTCCAGCTCTACCTATGTACCCCATGGTACCTGTGCCACCGGTACTACCATCTTTTCCTTTCCCAAGTAAGTGAACTAGTCTTTATAAAATTCCGCACCTATATTTATTTTTAAACGTGGTAGAGCCATGCTATATTATTGTTGTAGCCCGAACGGGTTGGCCGTCCGGGAAAGGAAAACGCTTCAAAAGACCATCGTAAAATAGGAGTGTAATGCTACTGAGCTCCGTATCGCGAGTGTAGGTAATCAGAGACTCTTTTTACTGGAAACGATGCAATTTATCTTAGCTATCACGGGTGACAACAGATCTGCATTTTAATTCCTAATCAGGCAGAGATTTCTATGGACCATAGTATTCACTTGATATCAAGTGACCTGTGACCTCGTTTGTCATTCCAATAAAAAAGTGGTGACGTTAAAGATTCCACTAGCCCATATCACACCGTGTTGTAAGAGGCGGTAGAGGAAAATGAAACAAGGGATAGGCAGTAACGTTTTCGTGATAAAAACTAATTAAAACTGCGGTTCCCAATCTGGTTGTTAACCACGGTAACTGTGGCACATATCACCCCTCTGAATGAATCTATGGGGAATGACTATTTTAGCAGTGGATATCGATGACATGTAATGGATAGCTCTGAATAGATATTTTTTTATATTTAAATGTATTAAGCTATTTCTTATTTGTTTTATATATGTTATAGAAATATCTCCAGATTGTAACGAAACGGAAACCACAAAAAATATCATTATTACATCTTCGTCAACTACATTAACTTCTCAAGCAACAGTCCCTGTTCAAACAGTCACAACAGAACCATCCAAAAAGACAACATCTACACCTGAATCCATAACAGAAACAACAAAGTCAGTGAGTATGGAATCAACAACTGTGCCAGAATCTGAAGACAAATTATTGCGTTTTAAGTAAGCATAATTGACTAATTTAATTGAATAAAAATTACCTTTCGTTACACATTTTTTCAAAAATAAAAATAATTTCTAATAAAATTTAATAATTAACGTTTTCAGAAAAAAGAAAAAGAAGCATATGCGTAGTGGCGGAAGCGATGTAGTAAGTTAAAATAAATATTAATGTTTTTCCGACTTAGTACTTTAAAGTATCAATTTAAACACTCTTATAATTTATTACAGCTTCGACGATTACAAGAACTAGTAAGGAATTCGACATTTAAAAAGAAAGAACAAAAAGCAGAATCTCCCAATGTCTTAGATCGGGAAACAGTGGAAACTAGTGATATGTTTCCTGATGAAGCTCTAAAAGGCGAAGATTTCCAACTAAGAACTAACGATGAAACTCCTTTGAAACAAGAAAATACTGTCGACTTTAAATATTTGTCACAATTAATTCATCGAATAAACCTTAATGAGACGGAAAATCCATTGGAGGCAATGTCTAATCCAAATATCAGAAATCGACTCCTTGCTGATTTCTATAAGAAAAATGGTATTACAAATGTTCCTAATAAACCTTTCCAGCCTAGTAGAAGAATGAACATTCAAATGTATCCACAAAGACAAAAAACATTAGACAATTCTTTTTATGCTAAACTGGGTAGACAAATAGCAACACTTATAAGAGGTGTTAATTCCAAAAATGATAGACAAATTAATATTGAAATTGAGCAAATGGATCAAAATACACCAAGTCATCCAATATTTAGTGAGCTTAGCTATGCACCACATTCGTACTGGGAACGATTCGTTAGGTCACCAATGCATTACCTACAGCAATACCAAAATAAAAAGGAATACCACGAAAGGAGTAACGAAATACTTTATAATATTGAAAATAAGGTTGAAATTGCTGCGTCCACAATGTTGCCAATGAGTTTATCGGAAATTGAAAATGTTATCAACGTAATGGAAGGAGCACAAGATGAAATCCAAAAAAGCTATGAAATTCCCCATAATACTCCAACTAATAACACGCTTGACATTAATTTGTGGCCCCAAGAATTAGTGACAAATAATACTCGTACAAATTCCGCTGAGCCTTTTATAAAAAAGATCCAAAAATACTTTAATTATACAAAGAAATATACCGCAGAAAAAAAGGTGCATTCCAATACAAGTGGTGTACTTCTGCAGAACATTCATAATTTTATTACTTGGCTTGGTACAGAACAAGTTAACAATATTCCCAGCTACAAAATACATAACTCAAAGTTAAGCAGCAAAAGTCGCGACGAAAACAAAAAAAAATGTCTAACTAAAAATGATGTACCAATCTCTAACGTTAAGCAACTTAATAATCCACCTAACGATTTCGTCCAAAGAAGAAAATACAAAACGGCACCTATCAGAAGCACAAGTGTACAACATCAAGCACTTTCGCCGATATTTGATTACAAGAAAAAACGTTTTCTCAACATAAATAGTCAATACCCATTATATAATCTTTTAGAATATCAATTTCCTACCGTCCCAAAGCCTATCAAAAAACCGCCTTCGAGAACTGTTCGCCCTTCATATTTCCACCACGAAATACACCATTTTGATTTCATCGATTAAGAAGTTCCAAACATAGCTTTTTATATAACTATTTTGCGTAAATATTACACAATTTTTATTTATGATTTATTTAAAACTTATAATACAATAACAGTCGAAAATTATAAATTTACAATATTAAATAGCCTTTTTCACTGCGACCTTAAGAGTACGTAAGAGTTAAGCAAATTTAGGTATTTTGCGCTCCGAGCTAGCGATGACCTACTCGAACGATATTTTATTTCATATCTCTATTCACTCGCTTGCACTATGGTACTGTGAGTATAGCGACTAAACGATCTTGATCTTCCATTATACAAATTTTCTTAGGATAGAGTTCAGTGGATGGAAAATTTTTGGTGTATCATTTTTATGTTATTTAACTAATTTATTATAATCTATTTGATATATTTTTCATTATTTATGAGCCTTAATGTTGTAATAAGTACACAAAAGTATTTTAATTGTTTCACAGTAATTGGTTGTTAAACGATGTTAGTTAATAATAGATTACATCTATTAACGGTAGCATAGTGGTATAAATAAATAGTACGGTTGCAACCTGTTTTAATAATTAAAATAACCAACTGTAACTGATATTTTTTAATCAGTAGTAGTAAGTTAATTACCATAATATTTTTTATTTTAAAAGTATTTGCCGCAACGGCATTGACCGAGCTTATCTAGAGTCAATAATTTCAGGCAGTACACACTTTTTATAAAACGCTTGTAGCTTGGATAACAGATTCAAAATCTAAAATTTGTCGTCTTTGTAGATTTTTGGTAGTTTTGCTGCATAATCTGGGCCAGTCCGTTTGGCAAGCAAGCAGAAATATTTATTCTCTATTATTTTTTCTCCAGAGAGAGGATATTTCTTTATGTTACCTTTAGTGACATCTGCATTGATACTTGTATTTATTTTTCCCCTTTCCGACTGGTAAGAAAGCTCAGCTACAATCAAACTAACTATAATGAGTTAACCATCTGGTATAATAATAATGTGCGAACTTTATACTAATTGAAATATACTGTACGAAAGTAAACACTTCACACGCTAATTGATAATGCTCTAGCACAAAATAGCAGCGCAACGGCTATCGACGCACACTACGATAATATCGAAACGAGACAGAGCGCGCGAAATAAATTGACACAGGCAACCTAGAGAACCGCTAGCGCGGTAGTGAATTCAGATAACCGACGCAGTTAAATATATGGTACTTTTATTTAATGAATTAAAAAAATAATAGTAATGGATTAAAAAGTAAAAATCATAGTATAATTTAAGCAAATGTTGATGATTATTTTGCTATAAATTTTACGGCAAAGTGATGTAGATCTTCGGAGACATTGGGGCTTGTATCGAAGCTTTTACAGTATATTATTGAATTATGCTGATTTTTTTAGTCTTGTAGTTTCTAGTAAAAAGGGTTCCGATAATACCATACTAAACACAGCAGTGTTAAGCTGCTATTTTACACTGGTATTCTGTGAGAGCGTGGTACTTCCCTGGTTGAGCCGACCCATTAGTGTTATAACTACACTACTAATATAGCTGCAGCATGGCTTTACCACGTAAAAACTACTTCCGTACGGTACTGTGCCTCTCGTTCTTGAATGGAAGTATGCTTTCGGCATGAGACGTCACAGGAGAATTATTTACCGCTGCTATCGACCATAATTTAATGCCTGAGTTAAGTAAATTTGTCTTGAATATTGCTTTAAAAATATTTTGTAGTAACAAGTAGTTAACTTTTTAATTGGTAGAGAATTTTGAATTTGAATTGGTTTTTCAGGCGTGAAAGCTAAGTTTAATTCAATTGACTAATCTGAATCCATTTGGGTGATTAATGACCCTGTTAAATTGTAGAGTTGCTTACTTCATTTTATTTTGTGTTTTGACTATGTCAACATCAATACCGTAACCGTAGCTCAAAGAGTGGGTGCGGTGCGTGCGTAGTGAGATGTGACATAGAGATGAGGGCTCTTAAAAGTAAAATGAAGTGTAATTATACATTTGTTGCGTAACAAACGATTAAAAAAGGTTTTGGCCCTTGGTCTTTTTTTGTGATAATAAGTAAAGTTCCTTTTAAATTGTTCTAGTTGAATTAAAATTATGTATTGAAGAAGTAGCCGGAGGAAAATTGGAAAATCCCAGCGTTCGTACTCTTAGTCACTTGTTATTACTATCTGGTCGCATTGTACGCATTAGTGCGTAGATGTAACTGCGTTTAACTTGTGAGTTATTCAGGAGCGATAAACACATAATGGTGTGATGGAAGGCCTATATCTCGTAGAGACTACTGTTGGTCGACTTAGGACAACCTGATAGTCCTTGTCTAAACAATGAATCGTATCACAAGAAGTGATTAAAATATGGGTAACAGTTTTTTGAAACTAGCCCTTGTGGCATTATGATCAATATGTTTAACCAAATAGATAACTTAAGTTATTTCTCTGTCTTGGCGCACTATGCATATAAATATTTTTTCGGGAATACTTAGCGGGAAGAGTGACCAAAAGAGTTATTACTCCGTAATTATTATTATACAAAGTATGTATTGTAGAAGTATCCTTGACCGTCTAGCATATATGCGTAGGTATATATGAACGTAAAGGAGGCGTTTTATCACTACTACTTGACTACTTGATTACTACTTTCTATATATTCTAAAGAAAGTAGTAATCAAGTAGTCAAGTAGTAGTGTAATATTCTACTTGACTATTAGTAATGCCGCAAATGTCAACCGTGACTAGAAAATTCAACGCAAGTTTTGCATTTTAATCCAGACGACCTAAACTCGGATAAAGAAGGGTGGTGTAATGTAGAAAAATTATTGCACAAAATAAACGCTTACATAGAAAATGATTTGATTTGTTAATGGCATCAACAATCCTTTTAAAATATCATGCAGCTAAATGTCTTATGTTTAAGCAAAAGGTGTGTTTTATCATGAAAAATGTGAAAATGTATGTAATAAACGTTTTAGAAATATTTTATAATATAATAAGACAAGAAATGTATGAAAAGCATTTAATACTATTAATATAACGTCGTTTTAATAGTAATATTTGTGCTTTTTAATAAAAATAATATGTTTTAATTATTGAATTAATTCGTTGTTACAACGCGTTACTAAGACTAATGCTAGAAATTAATAAACTTTATATTCGTTATTGAAGAACATTTGATGTTTCGTTTGAAGATCCTTCAGTGTTCACAGAAAAATTTTTATACTTTTCTCTTTTTTTAAATTTCAAGACTACTCTTATTACACGACTTAATTTCATTACAGAATGTGGATCGCACGGAAGATTTGAATACTGTATCGATGGGTTTCCTGGCTGTATCATAGGTTGCCATTGCCACCCGGGATATTATTTCGATACAGATACGAAGATATGTGAACCTAAGTATGCAATTATTAATAAACAATACAATATATGTGTTGGCAGGTCTATAAAATACCGATTGGATCGAGAGTGAGCAAGAGGTTGCGTTACTCCAGCTGAACGTCATATCGATGGTGGCAAGGTGGAGTTGAGAGTTTATCGGGAAATTCTCCCATCCCTTCATGCAGTACAAAGTTTGTAGGCACCATGCGCGGGAGATTCCGTCTTAGTCATTCTACCAACACGTAGTGCTAAAATAATATCGTGGTACTCTCCGTTGTGGTGGTTCTTCTGGTGCTGGCAAGGAGGTTGGTGTTGCTGAGAGGCCACCCTGTGTTACGTTGACTTAGATGGTGTTGCTGTTGATTTGTATACTTTAGTATTATCATGTAAATATATCCTTCACGTTACACCAGTGTGTAATTGTGACGGAGACATATTACGGTACGGTGGAACTGTAATTGCTCTATACTAAATGTATAGTGCGTTACGCTGTTTTATTATTGATAATGATTAGTTGTGTAAGCAAGAGAGCAAGCCTAACATCTGCTCTCACACTTTTACTACTTTTAACTATTGATGTATTTCCGAGATATAGATTATGTTATAAGTGCATCTTTATTTACAACAAACTGTTTCTTTTACCAACATCATACTAAACAATACAATTGCCAAAAAACGACAAATACACCATTATTAATATAAATGCTAGATAAAAGATAATATTACTATTTCAGCATAAAGTTGACGCAAAGTCACCAACGGCGAACCAATGGCGGTGAACCAATACCCACACCGTTATTACAAATTAACTCTCACGTAATGCCAGAACTGTCAACATCGTTTCCTAATACAAGTGATTTGGACGATCACGTAGATGCGATAGCTAAGAACGCAGACGATCTTGGTGATTGGCTCTATAATCAATTTTATAAAACAATAGAAAGTCAAGTTATCAACAATACCAACGGAAATACATTAACAAGACGAAGTGGTACGGTTTCCTTAAAGGAAAATGTTAAGAAAAAGAGACGAAAAAACCAAAACAAAGGGACTCTAAAAAAAAGCGAAAAAAAAGAGGACTTGAGAAGGAAGTTACTTCGGATTACAGAAGATGATAGTCTCTTCGATTCAGGCACAGATACTGATAGCTCTGACCCTTCCAGCAGTGATGAAACGCATGAAAGCAGAGATCAAGAACACGGACACAAGAAGTTTGTCATAATTAACAAGAAACCAAAAGCACCACTGCCTTCTTTTATATTTTTACCAAATTTAGAAACGCCTTTCTATCCCCCTCCAGCTCTACCTATGTACCCCATGGTACCTGTGCCACCGGTACTACCATCTTTTCCTTTCCCAAGTAAGTGAACTAGTCTTTATAAAATTCCGCACCTATATTTATTTTTAAACGTGGTAGAGCCATGCTATATTATTGTTGTAGCCCGAACGGGTTGGCCGTCCGGGGAAGGAAAACGCTTCAAAAGACCATCGTAAAATAGGAGTGTAATGCTACTGAGCTCCGTATCGCGAGTGTAGGTAATCAGAGACTCTTTTTACTGGAAACGATGCAATTTATCTTAGCTATCAGGGGTGACAACAGATCTGCATTTTAATTCCTAATCAGGCAGAGATTTCTATGGACCATAGTATTCACTTGATATCAAGTGACCTGTGACCTCGTTTGTCATTCCAATAAAAAAGTGGTGACGTTAAAGATTCCACTAGCCCATATCACACCGTGTTGTAAGAGGCGGTAGAGTAAAATGAAACAAGGGATAGGCAGTAACGTTTTCGTGATAAAAACTAATTAAAACTGCGGTTCCCAATCTGGTTGTTAACCACGGTAACTGTGGCACATATCACCCCTCTGAATGAATCTATGGGGAATGACTACTTTAGCAGTGGATATCGATGACATGTAATGGATAGCTCTGAATAGATATTTTTTTATATTTAAATGTATTAAGCTATTTCTTATTTGTTTTATATATGTTATAGAAATATCTCCAGATTGTAACGAAACGGAAACCACGAAAAATATCATTATTACATCTTCGTCAACTACATTAACTTCTCAAGCAACAGTCCCTGTTCAAACAGTCACAACAGAACCATCCAAAAAGACAACATCTACACCTGAATCCATAACAGAAACAACAAAGTCAGTGAGTATGGAATCAACAACTGTGCCAGAATCTGAAGACAAATTATTGCGTTTTAAGTAAGCATAATTGACTAATTTAATTGAATAAAAATTACCTTTCGTTACACATTTTTTCAAAGATAAAATAATTTCTAATAAAATTTAGTAATTAACGTTTTCAGAAAAAAGAAAAAGAAGCATATGCGTAGTGGCGGAAGCGATGTAGTAAGTTAAAATAAATATTAATGTTTTTCCGACTTAGTACTTTAAAGTATCAATTTAAACACTCTTATAATTTATTACAGCTTCGACGATTACAAGAACTAGTAAGGAATTCGACATTTAAAAAGAAAGAACAAAAAGCAGAATCTCCCAATGTCTTAGATCGGGAAACAGTGGAAACTAGTGATATGTTTCCTGATGAAGCTCTAAAAGGCGAAGATTTCCAACTAAGAACTAACGATGAAACTCCTTTGAAACAAGAAAATACTGTCGACTTTAAATATTTGTCACAATTAATTCATCGAATAAACCTTAATGAGACGGAAAATCCATTGGAGCCAATGTCTAATCCAAATATCAGAAATCGACTCCTTGCTGATTTCTATAAGAAAAATGGTATTACAAATGTTCCTAATAAACCTTTCCAGCCTAGTAGAAGAATGAACATTCAAATGTATCCACAAAGACAAAAAACATTAGACAATTCTTTTTATGCTAAACTGGGTAGACAAATAGCAACACTTATAAGAGGTGTTAATTCCAAAAATGATAGACAAATTAATATTGAAATTGAGCAAATGGATCAAAATACACCAAGTCATCCAATATTTAGTGAGCTTAGCTATGCACCACATTCGTACTGGGAACGATTCGTTAGGTCACCAATGCATTACCTACAGCAATACCAAAATAAAAAGGAATACCACGAAAGGAGTAACGAAATACTTTATAATATTGAAAATAAGGTTGAAATTGCTGCGTCCACAATGTTGCCAATGAGTTTATCGGAAATTGAAAATGTTATCAACATAATGGAAGGAGCACAAGATGAAATCCAAAAAAGCTATGAAATTCCCCATAATACTCCAACTAATAACACGCTTGACATTAATTTGTGGCCCCAAGAATTAGTGACAAATAATACTCGTACAAATTCCGCTGAGCCTTTTATAAAAAAGATCCAAAAATACTTTAATTATACAAAGAAATATACCGCAGAAAAAAAAGTGCATTCCAATACAAGTGGTGTACTTCTGCAGAACATTCACAATTTTACTACTTGGCTTGGTACAGAACAAGTTAACAATATTCCCAGCAACAAAATACATAACTCAAAGTTAAGCAGCAAAAGTCGCGACGAAAACAAAAAAAAATGTCTAACTAAAAATGATGTACCAATCTCTAACGTTAAGCAACTTAATAATCCACCTAACGATTTCGTCCAAAGAAGAAAATACAAAACGGCACCTATCAGAAGCACAAGTGTACAACATCAAGCACTTTCGCCGATATTTGATTACAAGAAAAAACGTTTTCTCAACATAAACAGTCAATACCCATTATATAATCTTTTAGAATATCAATTTCCTACCGTCCCAAAGCCTATCAAAAAACCGCCTTCGAGAACTGTTCGCCCTTCATAGTTCCACCACGAAATACACCATTTTGATTTCGTCGATTAAGAAGTTCCAAACATAGCTTTTTATATAACTATTTTGCGTAAATATTACACAATTTTTATTTATGATTTATTTAAAACTTATAATACAATAACAGTCGAAAATTATAAATTTACAATATTAAATAGCCTTTTTCACTGCGACCTTAAGAGTACGTAAGAGTTAAGCAAATTTAGGTATTTTGCGCTCCGAGCTAGCGATGACCTACTCGAACGATATTTTATTTCATATCTCTATTCACTCGCTTGCACTATGGTACTGTGAGTATAGCGACTAAACGATCTTGATCTTCCATTATACAAATTTTCTTAGGATAGAGTTCAGTGGATGGAAAATTTTTGGTGTATCATTTTTAAGTTATTTAACTAATTTATTATAATCTATTTGATATATTTTTCATTATTTATGAGCCTTAATGTTGAAATAAGTACACAAAAGTATTTTAATTGTTTCACAGTAATCGGTTGTTAAATGATGTTAGTTAATAATAGATTACATCTATTAACGGTAGCATAGTGGTATAAATAAATAAATAGTACGGTTGCAACCTGTTTTAGTAATTAAAATAACCAACTGTAACTGATATTTTTTAATCAGTAGTAGTAAGTTAATTACCATAATATTTTTTATTTTAAAAGTATTTGCCGCAACGGCATTGACCGAGCTTATCTAGAGTCAATAATTTCAGGCAGTACACACTTTTTATAAAACGCTTGTAGCTTGGATAACAGATTCAAAATCTAAAATTTGTCGTCTTTGTAGATTTTTGGTACTTTTGCTGCATAATCTGGGCCAGTCCGTTTGGCAAGCAAGCAGAAATATTTATTCTCTATTTTTTATTCTCCAGAGACAGGATATTTCTTTATGTTACCTTTAGGTCACTAAAGGTAACATAAAGAAATATCCTGTATATTGATACTTGTATTTATTTTTCCCCTTTCCGACTGGTAAGAAAGCTCATCATCATCATCATCATCATCACAGCCCTTCACAAGTCCACTGCTGAACATAGGCCTCCCCCAAGTAATGCCACAAAGCACGGTCCTGAGCCACCTGCATCCATCGACTTCCTGCATATCTTACCAGGTCGTCACTCCATCTAGTGGGGGGTCGCCCTACACTACGCCTACCGGTACGAGGCTGCCACTCGAGAACCTTTCTTCCCCATCGGTTATCGGTTCTTCGAGCTATATGGCCGGCCCATTGCCACTTCAGCTTACTAATCCGTTAGAAAGCTCAGCTACAATCAAACTAACTATAATGAGTTAACTATCTGGTATAATAATAATGTGCAAACTTTATACTATTGAAATATACAGTACGAAAGTAAACACTTCACACTTGGGCATAATTGACAATGCTCTAGCACAAAATAGCAGTGCCTCGGCCATCGACGCACACTACGATAATATCGAAACGAGACAGAGCGCGCGAAATAAATTGACACAGGCAACCTAGAGAACCGCTAGCGCGGTAGTGAATTCAGATAACCGACGCAGTTAAATATATGGTACTTTTATTTAATGAATTAAAAAAAATAATAGTAATGGATTAAAAAGTAAAAATCATAGTATAATTTAAGCAAATGTTGATGATTATTTTGCTATAAATTTTACGGCAAAGTGATGTAGATCTTCGGAGACATTGGGGCTTGTATCGAAGCTTTTACGGTATATAATTGAATTATGCTGATTTTTTTAGTCCAGTAGTTTCTAGTAAAAAGGGTTCCGGTAATACCATACTAAACACATCAGTGTTAAGCTGCTATTTTACACTGGTATTCTGTGAGAGCGTGGTACTTCCCTGGTTGAGCCGACCCATTAGTGTTATAACTACACTACTAATATAGCTGCAGCACGACTTTACCACGTAAAAACTACTTCCGTACGGTACTGTGCCTCTCGTTCTTGAATGAAAGTATGCTGTCGGCATGAACCGTCACAGGCGAATTATTTACCGCTGCTATCGACCAAAATTTAATGCCTGAGTTAAGTAAATTTGTCTTGAATATTGCTTTAAAAATATTTTGTAGTAACAAGTAGTTAACTTTTTAATTGGTAGAGAATTTTGAATTTGAATTGGTTTTTCAGGCGTGAAATCTAAGTTTAATTCAATTGACTAATCTGAATCCATTTGGGTGATTAATGACCCTGTTAAATTGTAGAGTTGCTTACTTCATTTTATTTTGTGTTTTGACTATGTCAACAGCAATACCGTAACCGTAGCTCAAAGAGTGGGTGCGGTGCGTGCGTAGTGAGATGTGACATAGAGATGAGGGCTCTTAAAAGGAAAATGAAGTGTAATTATACATTTGTTGCGTAACAAAGGATTAAAAAAGGTTTTGGCCCTTGGTCTTTTTTTTTGTGATAATAAGTAAAGTTCTTTTTAAATTGTTCTAGTTGAATTAAAATTATGTATTGAAGAAGTAGCCGGAGGAAAATTGGAAAATCCCAGCGTTCATACTCTTAGTCACTTGTTATTACTATCTGGTCGCATTGTACGCATTAGTGCGTAGATGTAACTGCGTTTAACTTGTGAGTTATTCAGGAGCGATAAACACATAATGGTGTGATGGAAGGCCTATATCTCGTAGAGACTACTGTTGGTCGACTTAGGACAACCTGATAGTCCTTGTCTAAACAATGAATCGTATCACAAGAAGTGATTAAAATGTGGGTAACTGTGTACGTAAATATGCAAATATGTAATGCAGTGCAATGCAAGATTAAATGCTGTTAAGGGGTACCACTCAAATACTGAGATTGTAGGATGCAAAATAAAACACTGTTAACTGTAACGCCTTGCGAATGGTACTGAATTTATTATAAAAGAAAACATAATATGTACAATGCATTAAAATGACGTCAAACACGAGCTCGCGCTCCAATTACGCTAACATATAAAAATGTACGGGTTTACTCGTACATATTGCCAAACCTAAAACAAAAGAAAGAGAATAAAATCTGTAAAGTATATAAAATACGAAAATATTATTCGTCTATTTTACATTCGAACTTGATAATCTTGTCAAACATTGTGGATGTAGTCTTATCCTGTGTACGCGGACCGCTGAGTACACGGCGCTCGATCGGCTGCGGTGGCGGGCTGCCAGGCGCGGGGGGCCGCGGGAGTCGCGTCGGCTGGCCTCGCCGTGGGGATATAATATAATTTTCTTCTATACATGTAGATAACTGCCGTTACTATTACTGCGATTACTATGAAGTACAGTATATATATCATAACATAGTGGTGTATGTCTTCATTTGACATCCCTTCATCAGATTGATTCAGCAAGTCTTGTATTTGCCCCTTGATTTTCCAAAATGTACTATTGTGATTTTCAGCGACGAATGGCAGCTGATTAATCGATGTGTTAATGACAGAGTTCAATATGGACTCTTCAGCCACACTCCCGATGTCAAAACTTCCTGTATATATTTCACTCCTGTAGTCACGATGACCTTGTATAGAAAATGTGTCTCCTTTAAGAATGCAATCTTGACCTATACTGATAAGGCCGCTGCCGCGCAGACTTCTCGTCGCCAGCCCGGACGGGCATAATATGCGGATCTTGCATTCTTCGCAGCATGTGTACAGCCAGGAGTCACGAGAGTGTAATTTAATCCATCTGTCGGGGCACTCCTTTGTTTCTCTACGACAATATGTTTGATTGCTGTCGTCCGTGATCATTTTTACGTCACATATAGACTGACCCACTTTAAGTTCGTATAAGGGACTAGTAATGGGGCATAGTAGGTTGACGTCGTTGTATCTGATGCAGAGCTGTAAATCATTTTCCATCACCGACATAAAGGTATCTTTTCGTAAATTGAATGCTATGTAGTCGGTAGAAGGTATGACGTAGATAGAGTTCAAATTTCTTGTTTGCGGTATAGGTATGACTCTATTAAGTTCATAAGTGTCAGTACTCAGTAGTGGCACCTTCACTTCAATTATGACGTAATCTTCGGTTATTCTTGCCTTTACTTGTAGCATTTTGAATAATTCCTTAATATTTTGCACGTTGACGGGGACTAAAAACTCTCCTTGAACATGTCTCGATATGACGTTTAACTGTTCTTGCAATTGTGCCGGAGAAAGCAAGTGTACGTCGAGTCTACCGTGATATATGTTCGTTACAGTATTAATTAGGGTGTCCTGTATTCTTCTTAAATTTGATAAAATGACGTCAAGCGTAACAACATGCGTAGTAAAATAAAATATGTTTATGGCTCGCTGTTTTACTTGTTGAACTTCAGTCGAAAAATTCTTTATTTGTTTTTCGATTCTTGTGAATTGCTTATTCATTATGTATTCATTTCTCTGTATTATATTATTTTCCGCTTCTATTATTGTAGTTTGATTTTTAAGTAATTTTTGCAGATAGACTTCGTTTTGATGGATTAATTTTATGTCTTTAGAGTATTTTTCAGCGAATTGGTCATCCAAAATTCCAAATAAGTAGTTGCTCAATCTTCCCACACCATTAATCAAACCTCTTCTTGCTCTGGAATGAGGTGCAAATTTTAACATATTATTGTAATGTTCTATCTCGTCCAACTCGTGTCTGAACTGAGCAAGTGTGGCAGTGCATGTACCTTCTTCATTACAGATGTTGTATAAATGGTTTAAATATCTTTCCACCTTTTGAATGTTTTTCCAGAATGTTGACATGTTGTAGTATACAATTATGATCCAATGTCTCTCTATAAGTTGCAAATCGGCTGCTCGATCAAAATATAACGCTTTAGTTGATTCTAACTGAGTTATTTTGTAAGTTTGCTGCATCGACGGCGATATAATTGCGATGATAAGTAAGAGCAAACAAATTAAATAATTAGGCTTACTTCTACTGCGTTTTGACGTATGCCCAGTAGCGCCGGGGTCACTGTCCGCGCGCAACGGTTTTTCATCTTGATCAGGGAGTACTGGCAAAGGGCACAGCTTCGTGATAGGCCGTTTCA